TCTTGAGGCTTCTGAACAGTCCACGTAGGCCTGTTCAGTCTTCGAAACCCAATCTGCCCATCCCTGTCCTGGTTGATTCGGTGGTACTCCATAAAGTTCAAGTTCATAGGCCGTGGATTGATAGGTAGTCCAGGGCCTGAAGTCAATGTCTGGGACTTTGGGCATGAGTGGGAAATACTGCGTTTGTCGGTATTCCCGGGTGGCTTCTTCGATGTCGAATTGGAGCTTGAGCAGGGCATGTGGCCTCCATGGAACAGCCCATTCTGTGGTGAGTGCTGTTGTACTGGCAAGTGTGTCCTGCGTGATGGCAAAGTCGATGACGTTGCCTGATAACAGACTGCAACCTGGCGCCAGGACGCCAAAATGAAACTTGGCTGGGAGGACTGTATTGGCCACGCTGTCAGGGTGATTCTGCCAGTCACCACCATAAAAAAAGGGTTGTCTGTTCGAGAAGGGTTAACACCTTGGCAAGTATTGTTGCATTGGTGTCACTCTGTAGTGTTTCACCTGTTTTGAGGTACAGGTCTATGACCAAAATGGTGCTCTCAGTGGCCCGCCACAAGAACGCTTGATACCCACAGCCTTGGATGTTGTAGCTGCCGAAGTCCGTGATGCCGGAGGCAGGGTCAGCAAGTACCAGAATGCCTCCATGTGTTCCAGAGTTGTCGGACTGGCTGGTGTACCGAAGATTGTGCGCCCACGTATGGTGAAGTATTGGCGCAGCTCATGATGCTTTTGTGGGTCAAGATGGGTTTCAGCAAAGATGTAAATGCCGGAGTTCCGGGCCCAGTACCATTCGATGACCTGCCTTTCATGTTGGTCACGTTGGCAAAGTAGAGCACATTGTGTTCCTGCTCATATCTGGCCGTCTTCATCGGCAGCACTTGTTGTGGTGTCTTGAAGATGTCAGCAGTGACCGCCCATACTTGAGTAATCTGACTGGCCAATTTGGGCGTTAAATTTGGCAGGTGTTGTGGTACCTTGCCGTCATCTGCAGTCCACATCAGATCACGGTAGATGAGGATGGCAAAGTAGTGGCCGGCTTGATGGGTTTGTCCTTGATGACAAATGAGCACAAACTCTGTTGATGCTCTGGCGAATCCATCCAAGGATCTTGGCATAGTGAATGTGCCTTGCTGTGCTTGGTGGCAATACCATCAATGCAGGTATTACGCGTGACATGGCAGATCAGCACCTTTTTATCGTCCATGAGGTATTGCCCCAATCCTTGGTTGGCCCAATTGTTGACGAGCGGGTACGGCGCCAAAATGGGTTGCTGCACATGATCTGCCAGGTAGCCTCCTTCTTTGATTTCGGCGTACCTGTAGTGGAAGGCTCTGGACTGCGAAACTAGCCAGACGGTTCACAAAGTGACTTGCATCACCTTGGATGTTCAGGTCGTGCTCTTTCCATAGAGTCTTCAGCCCTGCAAGGGTCATGATGTCGACGGCCTCTGCTGTGTCGAGAGACTCCTGGACTGCGTTTTGTAGAGCAAAAGGGCGCAAATCCAAGTGAAGGCCCCCCATGGTGCATTAGCGTAGCACCTGGCACTTAATTACCCAACAGCCATGGTGAGGTCCGAAGGTCCTGCTTTGATCGTTCTTTGGCTGTGGAGTCTCCAGAGCTCGGTGTACTGGTTAGTGCACCTCCTCTGATATGGACAAAATCACGTGCGTGAGCCGCCCGACTACTGAAGGTTGCCCTTGCGAAATGCCTTGTTCGAGAGTGTTACCCACACTGTCCCGGTGAAGGCGGCGCAGATCCATCCGTTTTCCGGCGCTTGTTGATCTCCTCTTCATCTGCGTTGGGCCTCTTGACAACCCATGCCATTGAGTTCTTTGCTCATCAGTCAGGTCGATTCCCAGACTTGTTACAAAGGTCTCTGCAGCCATAGGGACGGGCAGGTCCGGGTTGGCGTCCTCACCCTGCATGGGTCTTGTTTTGCGTAGTCTGCTTCGTGTGAGATCACGTAGCGTGGAGACTTGCTGCTTGAGCTTGTTGGCCACGTCCTTGGGGCTTGGTGATCTTCTCAACTAACTCCTTGACGGGAGCAGGAACTTTTGCTGAAGGCCAGGGTCTAGCTTGTCCCAGGAGGATGCCAGCACCTCACCTGTGAGCTTTTAAGGTGTGAGGTGGAAGTGCCGCGTTGCCTGCAGACTGTCCCTTGTCTTGCCAGATCCAGTTGCTGCAGCTGGTGGCCTGGCAGACCTGATAGCCGCGGCGCCATCTGGGCGGGCTGGAAGGCGTCATGTTGTCGTTCTCGATGACCCCAGCGCTGAGCGTGGGTGAAGATGCCCGTGCGCTCCACGATCAGGCCAAAGGAACCGTCAGGGATGTGGTCCCCCGTTGAACTCAGCCCGGAGTGCATGGCGCACTGTGGCTTGACGCTGAGCCGTATGTATGTATGTATGTAGGTAGGTAGGTAGGTATGTATGCGTGCAATGTATGTAAGGTATGTAATGCGTGTATTTCTTCAGATAGCGAAGCCATGGGGTTCTTGCTTCAAAAAACAATGGTGCTGTGAGCTGGCTGTGCACGTGGTGGAGACAGGTTGCTGGTGCTGGTGCTGGGTGCTGGTCCTGTCAGCTGGCTGTGCGCGTGGTGGAGCCAGGTTGCTGGTGCTGGTGCTGGTGCAGGGCGCCGGGCGCCGGCGCTGCTGGGAGCTGGCTGTGCGTGTGGTGGATGGTGGTGGGCGCCGGGCGCCGGTGCTGGTGCTGGTGCTGCGAGCTGGCCTGTGCGCGCGGTGCATGGAGACAGGTTGGTGGCACTGGTGCTGGTGCTGGGTGCTGGGCGCGGGTGCTGTGAGCTGGCTGCACGCGTGGTGGAGCTGGCGCTGCTGTGAGCTGGCTGCGCACGTGGTAGAGGCAGGTTGCTGGCGCTGGTGGTGTGAGCTGGCCTATACAGGGCGCCGGTGTTGGGGTGGCGGGTGCCGGTGCCGGTGGTGGTGCTGTGAGCGGGCTGTGCGCGTGGTGGAGACAGGGTGCTGGTGCTGGTGCTGGGCGCTGGCTGTGCGCGTGGTGGAGACAGGTGCCGGTGCTGGGTGCTGGCTGTGCGCCTGGTGGAGAAGATCTTTTTTTTCCCCAGTTAGCGACAGTTCTTATCATTTCAAATGACGCGCCGGCGCTGGTGCTGGGTGCTGTGAGCTGGCTGTGCGCGTGGTGGAAACAGGGTGCCGGCGCCGGCTCCTGGTGTGGGTGGGTTGTGGTGCTGGCGCTGGCGCTGGGTGCTGGCTGTGCGCGTGGTGGAGACAGGGTGCCGGTCTGTGTGGGCGCCGTGAGCTGGCGTGCCGGTTGCTGGTGCCCGCTTCTGACAGTGAAGTGGTAACAACCGCTGCTTCTGGCAGTGAAGGGTAACAAACCGACGCTTGCAGCGGTGAAGGGTGAGCAAGCGCCGCTTCTGACAATGAAGTGCTGCAGCAGTCATGGGCCGCGTGGACTTATGCGCGCAACATCATACGGTGTTGTCGCTTGAGCGTTCTTTGTCTATTAGACCGCTGTGGGGTATTTACGCTCTTCAGGTTCGGTTTTGGCCGACAGCTGTGTCAAGGGCTGTACTGTTTGCGCGCATACTTTTCTACGTATAATGTTCATAATGTTCTATGCGCAACGTCAGGCTCTCAACCGACCATTGTTTCAGCATGTCCCAGCATGCTACACACACACAAAAGTCGTGCTGGATAAGGCTTGGCCTTGGGCGAGTGAAGCCTAGAGTCCTAGAGGGCTTTGCCGTTTGTGCGCATAAACTTATACGCGCAAGATCGTACGGCCTTATCGTTCTACAGATTCAGATCGTTGCTTCAAGTGTGCTACAAAGTCAATAGTAGCGCTGGGTACTGCTTGGCCTTGGGCCAATGACACTTACGGGCTTTGCTGTTTGTGCGCCTACTTTTGTGCGCGTAAACTAATACGCGCGAGATCATACGTTGTTATTCCCCAAATAGGGATAGCTATGGGTTTCTGGCTGCAAATAAGAATGAGCTGCGCACGCTTTCGAAAGGGTGTTGGTGCTGGTGCTGGTGTTGTGGCCCTGGGTGCTGGTGCTGTGAGCTGGCTGAGCGCGCGTTCAAGACGGGCGGCGGCGCTGGTCGGGTGCTGTGTTGTGAGCTGGCAAAGCGTGCCGGTGCTGGTGTCAGCTGATTGCGCGCGCTGTGGAGGTGCCGTAAGCTGGCTGTGCAGGCTGCGTACATTCTTGTTCCAGCCAGTCGCATGTCAACAGGTCGCGGGATTCTGCCTAGCTATCTGGGTCTATGCTGGTGCAACGTATGTAACGTATGTAATGTATGTAATGTGTGTAATGTATGTAATCTATGTAATGTATGTAATGTTATGTAACGTAACGTAACGTAACGTAATGTAATGTAATGTAATGTAATGGTATGTACGTATGTATGCATGTATGCATGCCCGAACCGTGAAACACCAAGTTTATCAAATTTTTCTTTGACAAGGCTCTTTTGAAGCTTGCTGGCTTTGGTTACCTGGAGGGACAACCAAAAGCTAAGCATCCCTTGGACCATTATTTTTGAGAATTAGAGCACAAGTGTGATTGGAATGTGCTGTGGGGTGCTGCTTGACCTATTTGAGAAATGTCATTTGGTTCAACTGGTTCATGTTTTCAGGCACCCCTCAAACATCCTTCACATTTTTTGATGAAGTCTAGATTTCCACGCCTGCATTGTACTGGAGGTACATCGGCCGTAGGTTGACCTAGACCACACTGGACTTTGAGGACACACGGCTTTTCTTAGGCGGCAGTTACGTGGTGCTGTCGAGCCTCTTGTTTGGATGATAAGAATGCAGATTCATGCAAACCAATCAGCCTCTTGCTTGGGGAAAGCGCTACGCAATGCCTTTCGAGCCTTTCGCCTCGTCCTGTGAGCTGACTGAGCAGTGAAAATGAGACGCGTTTGTCGCTTTTTGTAAAACTGCTACTAGCTGACGCAGTGGCGCATAAGTGGTGAAGTTCAACATCGCAGGACGTCACGATGAAACATTGCCCAGGTTCAAGCGACGACCACACTTGGCAGTAGTTTCGGACGGGGAGGGCCCGGAGGCACGTCATGTGGGTCTCTTGGCGCAATGCAGTTTTGTAACTTTTGTACATTTTTGGCGCTGTATGTGCACATTGTGCACATTGAACCAAACAAAGTGCCATTCTGAAAAAACAGTTTCCAAAGCCTTTCGCGGCAAACAGCAGCCTTGTAGTTGCGAGCGCTCCGCGAATGCTTTACTTCCTCCTGAGGCATTGTCACACTACACAACATTTTTGGGACAATCCTGTCTCTCAGCTGCAAGGATAACACGGATTCTAGGCTGTGTTGGTGAGTGATGCTTTACATACTATGTACAAAAGAAATACACATTGAGCAAAGTGTAAAAGGGTTTGTGCAAGAATCTGTTCATCAGAGGAAGTGCTTGTTTTTTCTCTTTTTTCCCAGAAGCGTATGGACATCGATACGGCGAACGGCAAAATTGTGAAAAGAGAGTTGATATCGAAAGTAGAGATGAAAAGATGTTTGGATTTTCTTGTCCCAGTCCCATCATAGCTATAGTGTAAATATTCACCAAACAGTGTATACCGATATAGTGAAATACAACACCGACAAACATTTTAAAATTTTGTCTATCGCTCTGACGTGTATCAACCAATATATAGTGCAATACACGTATGCACATGCCAATATAATGCAGGGAGTTGCAGTCAACTTCATTCGACAACTTTCTCGCTGAACTGAGGCAGGCCCAGGGAAACAGCTTCTTCTCGGAGGATGTGGGAAGCAGTCCTAGACGTCATCAACAAGCAGGAGCCCTCCACTTGTTTGAGCCTTGTTTTAGGCTACGGCGCCGTTAGCGGCTGTGAGTATTGCGCTACTTTTTACTACTTTTTGCTTGTTTTTGTCAACTTCCCCTTACCAGGTTGCGTTTGGTTTGCGGGGTTCCAGGGAGGTTCCCTTTCTCTTTTTTGGGGGTTTTGGGTTACGAGGTTGCGTTTAGGGGTGGTTTGCCGGCTCCGCTCTTCGCTCACAGTCTTCGCATAGTTCGCGTGGGACCTGGCGCATGCGTGTGCCATTCTCAGATCCTCAAGCTTACCGAACCGACCGTTTCCACTCCACCATGCTGACGGCTGTGGAGTTCTTTGAGTTCTTCTTGCTGCTGCTGGCTTTGCGTCAGCTACAAGGTGTACCGTGGGATTACTTGCTCAATGAGTTGGGTTTTCGCGTGGCAGTGGCGGTACAATGCCAGGATCCGCTGTCAGAACCTTTGGCAAGCAGTCCACTGCGCCAGACCTGAAGAGAACAAAAAGGAGCGTGGAGTGCAGACAGCCCATGCTTGTTGCGTTGAAATGTGCCAGAAAGTCGTGAAGAGTGCCACCAAGTGCTTTTGTTCTTATTGAAGCAGCAGACAGACTGATCAGTGATGCGTTCGCCGCTCCATGAGATTGTGACTTCTGACCGAACTGAGCATGGCTCCATCTCTCCACTTTGCCAGCCAACAACTAAAGTCTATGGCTGAACTTGATTGAGAGCTGTGCAAAATACCCGCAGCTGCTAATGGCGCCGTAGCCTTGTTTTACTGTAATCTTTCGCGTGTTGACTTGTTTCTTCTCATTTTCCATTATTCTTTTAGAGCGCGCTTAGCTGGATGTGGGTCCGCCATGAAAGATACATGAACGGAGGGTCCAACCATGGGCCACCCAGGTCCGGGTTCGCTTGAAGTTATCGAGCAAGTCTTTGTCACATTTGTATGACATTGGGAAATACGTGGCTGAACGGCTTGTCAAAAATTGCCCCATTGAGAATAGTAACATATTTACATATATATATATATATATCTTTCTATATATATATATATTACGAAAGCCAGCCGATAGGCTAGGCTTGAGCTCTTAGAGCGAACGAAGGGTGTGGGGGGGAAGGGTGCGAAAAGGCGCATTTTGAGAGGGTGAGCCCGGATCTTGGTGCGGGAGATGCAATGGACGCCGAGCAATGCATCATTAGCATCATGAAGGGGTCGCCGGAGTCTCCGTCACGCCTGCGTCTATCAACAACAAGCTGCTCACCAAGTACATGAGGAACGGCCAACCGACGGAGAGTTGCCCGTGCGCCATCGTGTTGCAGAGCGGCCGGGCTTGCGGTGGCAATCATAGTGCGCAAGTGGAGACAAGTTTTCTAGTCCTGAGCAGGGCATAGGGACTGTGTAGCTCTGATCATACCAAGAAGGACCAAGCAACAAAGAGTGAACGCTCTGGGAGCGAACGATGTGAGTAAGTGCAGTTGGGCGAGGTAGAGGCTTGGGGATAAGAGCGCCGCAAGAGGAGAAGCACGAAAGCTGCAACAGTTCAACACTTCATGCTGTGCTCCGATCTTGATCTCAGTCGCAGTGATACCAGCTCCACGAAACTACAAGCTTTCAACTATAGGTGCTTTGCTATTTGGCTTCGCATTGATGCGCGATACCCGAAACACATTTCAACACTCACAAAAACCATTTCGGGCATCATTTTCTGGTGTTCACTGACGTCTACTTTTTGCACGGACTCTCAAATAGAACGCCAACAAGGGACGCTCCAGAAGGCGCCGCACCAAGCAAATCCAGCTCCACGAAAACTACAACCATTCAAGAATGAGTGCTCTCCTCTTTTCTTTCTCCCAGCCCTGCTCTTTATAGGGCTTCGCATTGATGCACGATGCCCGAAACACATTTCAAAACAACCAAAACCAACCTTTCAATTAAACCACCAAGCAGGGACGCTCCAGGGAGCACAGCGCCAGGAAAATCGAGAAAAAACATTCAATACTTCATGCTGTGCTCCGATCTTGATCTACTCCACGTTGATACAAGCTCCACGAAAGCTACAGGCATTGAACAATAAGTGCTCCACTATTTTTTCCTCCCAGTCTTGCATTACCATATTGTTTTTTCGCTGGCTTTCGTTTTGTCCTTTCTCAGGTATATTTTTTCCGTACCAGATTTTTTGAACCTCTTAATGATCCAGGCGTAGAGCAGGCACTTGCGAGGGTTGTTTCTTCAATAGAGTGTTGGTTTTTTTCAACAGAATCAGCATCAGAGTAGAGCTAGGTGCTATGCCCTTAAGAAAGGCGCGCCAAAAGACAATTATTGTGCTGTACATTTTGTGACTGCTTCGGCACCACAGGCTGGGAAACTTTTCCAAGCATTCACCCACTGCCCATGCATGATGATTACATACTATGGTCTATGGATCTATGGTATTTTCACGTGAGAAGCTTGTTCACTATTGCGTTATCCATGCTGGCCTTTCGTCAACCCCTCCTGCCCCAGAGTGACGACAGTGAAACATAGTGAAACAACGAAAGTAGTTTGTGCTTCTGAAGTCTGAAGATTGGTGCAAACTTGGTGGATACTGGCGACTTTCCATTACAGTAATACCATCTCCGCATATGTTCACACAGTTTCCGGCGTGAAGTCGTGCTTTTCAGCATTAAATCAACGTGAGGTCTATAACCAAAATGGGATTGCTGAACATGTTCTAGTCTTGGGGACTGGGGTGCACCGCCTTGGCCGCCCTGGCCCACGGATTTGATTAGCTTCTTGAACTCAAGCATCTGAGGATCGCACTCGCCTTGAAAGCATGGCGGCTGGAAAGGAGCAGCTGGGAGAGGACTGGCCAGGGATGGAAGGGATTTGAGCCAAAGACCCTGTTGTTCAAAGACAAAAGACCTCCCCCGAACAGAGTGTGAACATGTTGCAATCACCATTTCACAGACTGAGAAGATGGCACTGACATTCACCCCCTCGAACAGCCGGAATGATGAGAATCGACCATAGAAATGTGATTTCTTGGCATGCGTTGGTCACAATTCCAGAATAAACGGGAAGAGGGCTCGTGTGAGCACACTGTTTCACTGTTTGGTGAATTAACTTTTCCTAGGAAGCTCCTCACAGAAGTCGTCCATGGACATCATTTTGATCCATTTTGCTAGGGGCTCATGGATCTTGGCCAAACATCGTGAGCCAACACGCTTCACCAGGCCATCCAGGCTTCCCTGGCCCATACATTTCTGGGGTCCTGTCGGTTCCGATTTTTGGCCGTTTCGAGTGGACAATCTGGTGACGTGAGACCTGATAGGTTCTGAAATGAGCGATTAGGCCATGAGCAAAGCAGGACGAGGCTGGAGCTGTCATGTCCTTCTTGGCCGCTTGGCTGAGTTAAGCGCTAAACGGACTGAGATGTTTCTGGCGTGCGAGAAGTACAACATCCCCGCGGCTTTGCCAGATTCAAGAAAGAACAAAGGTGTGAGACGGATAGAGGATGATAGAGGCAATAATATATATAAGCCTTTTCGGTTGTTCTTCTCAGAAGGCATTCAGTTTCCTTCAATTCTCCGCTGTATTTTCTGAAATTAGGGTGTGCCAGAAAACTCCTCTGAATCATTGGGTGTTCATTCTTGCGCCCTTCAACCACTGGTGTCTTCCCTCCTGGAGGGGTTCTGTTCCCTAAACTCGATTCCCATCTCCCCAGCTCTCTTGACTTGTCTCAATCTGTGTTTAGTCTCAATTGCCATCGGTTTGCGGAGGTTGCGACCTTACCGAAGATCTTCTCGCAGCAACACGTCAATTCCACGAAGCTCTTAGAGCTCCTACGTGAGCTGCGGCCAGAGCCACCTGGCATACGTTCAGCCACATGACGAGCCTGGTTCGAGAACGGGTTCCGGTGCGGGGCGGTGTGATCTGAGACCGAGGTTCGTTCCAAAGCGCACAGAGCTTTATCGATCTGGCTTCGAGACTACAAAGGTGACACTAGTTTTGCAAGGCTGGGAGAGCACAGTCAAAGACCGCGCAAGGAGAAGGATTCACAGAGTTTCAAGACGGAATTTCACTCCTGACCGGTGGTGCTCCCGTGCGTCCGGCCGTTTGGTCCATGGGGCCGTGGGTGAGGCGCCTTTCACCTGACCAGTGGCGCCGACCAGTGCGAGAGCACCGTTGGGCCATGGGCGTGCCTTGGGGTGGGCGTGCTACTGGCGAAAGCCGACAAGTGACCTGGATGTGATCCGGAAGAGGGGCGGGCGCCTGACGATGCGATTCCACAGGTTGAGAGCTTCTGCCCTTTCTGAGTTTGTCAGTTTGTTCTGCCCTTTCTGTGAGCTTCTTCACTTTGAACTCCAGAATTCACCTCTCAAGTGCTGAAGATTCAAGATTCTCACTCGGCTCAATGCCATCCGCCAATGCTCTAATGCTTCATATCATTTTGCCACATTGCCACATTTTTCTCACGCATACATGTTTTATTCCCTGTATCTTTTGGTCCCTTCACTATGATACAGTCTCTCCTGCTGGGAACTTGCTATGAGACCCCTGCTGTTGATTGCAGGGTTTTGTCCAAGAAGATCCCTTAGTTTTGACACAGAGGTACACCTCAGACTTTACAGCAGTTGCCCTAACCGACGCCTTCATCTTGCAACTCGAACGCCAGAGATACTTGCAAGCGGCAGCGTGCCTTGGAATGCTTTTCATGCAGATTCTTCAGAGCTGATTGTTGGTAGTGTTCCCTTGTCGGAGAGGGCTCGACCACGTTGGTTTGCTTCGAGTACCTCCATATACTGTATATACTTTTGAAGGACCTCAAAAATCCCACTCACTTGATCCTGAAAGCCTTGATCTCTCATGAAAGTGTCTCAAGATCAGACCCACCGAAAAAGCGTCCGCGTCGAAGGGATACCACCGGCAAAACCGCGTCGCTACGTCACGTGACGTCCGAGGTCAGACAGACTGGGCCATATTGACAGTTTGGCCTAGGTGCGGCAGGGGACATTCTTCACATTGTTGCTAGTAGCGTCCTTGTTACTAGTAGCGATGCCCTTTGTTGCTAGTAGCTATTTGCTACTAGTAGCGATGCCAGGAGCTACCAGTAGCTGCTTGCTCCTAGTAATGAATGTCGGCTATGTGATGCAATATCATTTCACGGGGTTTGACGCGCTCGTTCCGTTGAGTGTTCCTTCCAGTTGAAATTGCAGGTGCTTGGGGTTGGCAAAGTGTTTGTATGATGGCAAGTTTGCTTCCACAGACAAAACGTGACCAGATACACCACGTGACCAGATACGTGGTCATCTAGTCCAGCCAAGTCGTCCAAAAGAATCACAGGATATCACAGGATGCCGTGCCAGGCCTAAAATCGTCCACCAGCCTGGTGACGCCGCCTCAAATGAGCCTCAGTCCATCAGTATATACAGATGCCGCATGTGGCAGCTTTTCTAGGGGCTTTTGCTCTGGTGCTACTTCTTTGGGCAGAGCTCTTTCGTTCAAAAACGAAAGTCATAACACCTCTGCCGGGCAGAGTCGCAGGAGATAGCTCGAAAAGGCTTTGGAGCTTTGGTTGTGAGAGTTGCTTGGATCCTTTACCAGCATGAATGTTGCATGCGACTATGTACGTGCTGCATGCTCATGCCCAAGTATCATGTCCTTTACCCATTAAGGCCTTGCAGTCAGATTGCAGCCAGGAACAAAGCATAACAAAGAATACCGTTGCAGGAGTTCAGAGCATTGGCATTCGAGCGACCCCCAGCGACAAGCAGCGCAGCAACATGAAACACGTCAATTGTATCAAGTGGAGGGAAGCTCGACTGTTGTGAGTTTGTCATCTTCAGCAAGCACCTATTCAGTCAAGTCGTCCATGGAAGCCGTAGCAGCTAGCAGCTGTAGCACCGCGGCAACACTGTGAGCACCATTTGAGGGGCTGATCTCAAACGAAGGTCTCTGTCACGGGGAGTTCAACCCAAGTCCCAACCGGCGCCCTCAATGCGTGCGACGCTCTTTGGTGCGGGAACCGCACTGGCCGGGTAGCCTTTGCGCATGAGGTTGGCGAGGCCTGGGGTGGAAAGGGGCGAAGGGGCGAAGGGTAGCGTGCATGCGTCCGTCCCCGACATGTCACCAGATGTCACACGATGTCACAAGCATTCTGAGATCCTATGGTCCAAATTCGAGACCCTTCAAGCAGTTGTCTTGGTCGGCTGTTCACAAGGCCTCTCAGATCCCTGAGAAGTTCTTCACAGCGGTGGTTTGTGGCCAATTCAAGGCCAGCTTGTTCATACTGTAAATTTGTGGCGCAGGGCCAGCTCAAGTGAGGCCTCCAAGCGAGGCTGGGGTGGCTCGATTCACCATGATTCACCTATACATACCTATACAGTATACGGCCTTTTTGGCATTGTTGGTCTTGTGTGTCCTCCCAGTTGAGGTTTTGTCCATCTCAGTTTCCTGGACCCCTCGAATCGACCTAGGGTCGCGGACCTGGTGGCTTCCGTGGCGTCGCTGGGCGACGATGAGGCGCGAGGGGGTCGGGCTTACTGCTGACCCTAATCCTCCCCAAGATCCGAAAATTCCAATCAGGCTTCTGACTTTATGAGATGTGACAGCAGAGGCTTCAGGCTTTCTTTTGTTGGGGCGGGAGCCGGGTTTTTGCACCCTCCCTTTCGCGGATGGATTTCCATCCCAGGTTTTGGGCACCAGTTCGCTCACCCCGTTGAGCCAACGAGGCTTGGGCCGGTTTCGAACAGCGTGCGCTGTCATCTTGTGCACAGTGGAGAGGGGAGGAGATGGTGAAGGCAGGGTGAAAACGATGCGAGATTTCTCGATGCGTGGGGATGTGCCAGGCATTTCCCACGTTTCGGGTGGTTGAGGGGTGGTTGGGGCAGTGCGTCCTGGAGCGAGTGGCGCAAGTCGGGTGCGTTTCATTCTAGCGAGAATTGCATCGGGTTAACTCACCCAGACACTTCCATTTGGGCACACAAGAATCACCTTTCTTACAGTCTTACAGGCTATCCTTTTGTCGCAACCGCCCGACTCGGTCCTTGTCCCAGGTGCTGCATGCCTGCACTCAGGCACAGCGCAAGCCCCGGCATCTTCTGCACCGCTTAGCAAAGGACGCCTCCGAAGCAGCAATCTCAATCGGAACCTTGAGGGTCGTCGAAGGCAGCAGGGTTGAACACTAGGACCATTTCGGAGTGAAAGACCCGGGCTTTGGGGGAAGTGGAGAAAGACATGAATCACAAACAAACGTAGCCAGGAGATTCTGGAGAAATTACCACAGTTGGACTCTGTGGAGTTGTGTGACCTGGCAAAGACGTCTACGTAGGAATCCTCAGATGTGTAATCCAAAGAAATACCAGGTGTTCCAGGCTTCTGGAGCTTGCTTTCATTTTGCAGCAAGAATGTCATGTTTTTCAATGTTTTTTTCCAGCTTCCCAAGATGTGAACCTCAACAGGTTGAACAAGAACCAGATGTTTCGAGTGCTTTTTTTTCGTTGATGCCACAAGGAAACAGACAAGAACCAAATGCATCTTGAAGATTTTGGAGGGTTGTTTTGCTTGATTATGCCTGGACATGCTGCCTACACTTTGCAGAGACTTTTCATGTCCAAACCTGAAGATGCAGCGTTTGGGGAAGGCAACAATCTGCGATATAGAGTCATGAATCATGAATGTATACTATAAGTCATTTCGTGCAATGAAAAGGAACATCACACGCTGGACAGTTGTGCCAAGAACCCATGCCATGCTTGACAGATCCAGCTGGGAATCCTCGCGGTTTGTTATCCAACGACTTTGGATCCCAGGGATCCGGAGTCGTTCGCCGATCCCAACTGACCGCGCTATCCACGCCATGTCGTGGCTGTGCTGCGACGTGCACGTCGGGGAGGAGGCGATGTTCGCTCAGCTCGAGGAGAAGTCCAAGTCCTCCACGGAGGAGTCGACTTGGGCCGACAGCTCCAGCGAGGCCGAGGCAGGCGAGTTCAAGCAGGCGAGGGCAGGTGAAAAGAAAGTCGGCCACACACACAGTATATATTGTTATATGATCGTCGAGCGTCTAAACCGCATCACCTGACAGAATTCAAGTGGTTCAACACTTTCGGTTGAACTAACACCTTTGAAGGGACCTTTTAAGCCTTTGTGATCTTTTCTTGTCTCCACTGATCGAATTTCAAACCATTCTGCTCAGAACGCTACAGCTGCTGCAGGTGGACGAAGAGTTTCTAAGATGCATGAAGTCCTGTCGGCTCCTGGAAGCAGTCGGGCACTGCGACGACCCGGAGCTCAGGAAGGATTTGAAGGCGAACAGCTGCAAGGGTTCGCGGTTTAAGTCTCTAGTAAATCCTTATAGGCATGAGGTCATGAGGTTGCCAGAGGTTTCACTGGGCTTGGGATCCATAGTGGACGTTGCTCTCCGAGATGTCCAATGGGTATGAACGCTGATTGGATCCGATGGGTATGCCCAACGAGAGGCCTCTCGTTTCGTCTGATCAAACACGAGTTGCAGTTGGTTCGCCCAACGCCTGGAGGTTTTGAGTCAACGCTTTGATGCCTCCATGCAGATCATCAATACCAAGCACTGCGCGATGACTGTCTCGGGAGAGCATCCGGATTTGAATTTTGTCTATGGGATGAACATGGAGTCCCAAAGCTTCAAGATAGCAGTGGACATCACCTGGCACTTGGATTCCATGAGAGAGCTCTTGATTTTTGCCTCTTTGTACATCGCCAAAGATGCTCAGGTGGGCTTCGATACCACCATGCGCTCCGCGGAAGCTTTGGGCGTTCACACCGCCACGGAGGCCTTTTGGCGGGTTCGAGGAGTGGATGGCGTGGGCATGAAGACAGATGACATCTTACAGCGAAACTGGCTGATTCCCAAGGATGACTCAGCCTATGATGCCTGGCTGGTCGAGACCTCTGCAGCTGAAAAGTTTAACTTACCAGTGGATGAAGGCCATTACCGTGCCCCCGATGTCCTCAATTATTTCGTTCTAGCTGGGCGGGCTGAGAAGGAAGGCTATGCTTTGAACGTGAAGACCATCATTACCATCAGCCCAGATGTTGTGACCATGGCCCTGCTACGTTTGATGCCCGCCTGGGCGCTCCGGAAGGCCCTGGGCAGCACCATTCGGCAAGCGGTGAAAGGGACCCCGGCGCATGTGGAGCGACACCGCTCAAAGCTGGTGGAGGCGGTCGACACCTCCCCAGCGGCTGGCTTCTTCCAGGCGCTGGAGCAAAGAATCCGAGAAAAGTCCTCCAAGTGAGGCGCCGCTGGAGGTCCCAAGATGTGCTGGTTAGGTTGGCGGGGCATGTAGCGAATCGACCGAAATTGCAGGTCTTCAACACTTGCCACCCCTTCATGCCATGCGTGTCGTTGATGATGCCTCGCGATGTCGGAAGCTTCAAATACCTCAGGATCTATGGGATCCAGATTGAATTCGTTCTATTTTGGCGGCCACCAGTGCCGATGCTTGGAAGACCCTTACAGTCCACGGTGTTTGAAGTCTCAGCATGGGCGAGCATTGAAAACTGGATCCTGTCCGAACAAGCTTCTCTAATGGCCCTTTACTCATTTGAACCCTTTTGCTGAAGCCAGCATTTTTCGTCAACAAAGGAATGTTTGTGTCCCGTGTAAAAGTGGTGTCAGTGCCAAGAGCTCGCCCGTTGGCTTTTGTCCATCAGCGGATGGTCGAACGTCTTGACCGCAAGTGTCCATTGGCTTGCGGGGCAGTGTAGCTCCTCTTTGCTCTGGCTGCTCTGCGACTCGCACACTGCCCCCACATTCTTGGCCAGTTTGAGCATGGGGCTCTCGAACAAGCCGAATGGGTTGTGACTGTACAGCAATCCGGCTCTCTTTTGTCAAGTACGTCAGCCAGTCAGACAGTGTGACATGTAAAGGATATTTTCGCTGACTTCTGACATCCTCATGAAACATGTAACTTCCCCAAACTGTTCCAAATACAAAGACACATCTTTTCTTTTGGATCTCATGTTTCAACCTGCATGTTGACATGCTGGCGAAGGTCGCCACTGGTCCGCCCAGAGGTGGCGGAAACCAGGCTACGTGGGATTGAAAAGTGGTTTCTTCAGTCCTTGTGCACAGTGTGTCACTGCAGATGTCCCAATTATTCGGTTTGGTTGGAGATGAACCGATACCCTGGTGGTCTGTGGCAACGTTTGCCATCGTGCTGAAGGGCCGAAGGAAACATCGTAACACAGCTTCTTGTTCCTAGTGGTAAGGCACCTTGCTACTAGTAGCATCCTTGCTACTAGTAGTAACGCCAGGAGCTACTAGCATCGATGCACTTGTTACCAGTAGCTTCTTGTAAATCTTTCATGAGAAGATGAGTTCCGACCGTTCTGGGCCCAGTTGTCTCGGCCGTTCTGCGCCCAGTTTCGGCGCCCAGGCATTTGCCTTCACAGCTTCGCGCAGCTTCGCTCCCGGCCACCTTCTCTCTTCCAGGCGCCCAGTGGCTGGGTTCTGTGTGAGTTGGACCCTTCAGGAGTCCAGAAGAGGCCATCCATGAATTAATGCCATCACGCCAGTGAGAGATCCATCCACAAAGGTACAGATATATACGTCGATTGATGATGATTGATGGTCGATCTGAGTTGAACCACAGCTTTGTACGAAGGATCTTTCAGTGCGAGGCCAATTTCCGGCCTTTTGTCGGTTGGCACTCTCCGCACTTCAGAGGTGGTGACCCGGCAGCTCCTTCGTCAGCGGGCACCTGGGCAGCGCAAAGCCACCGAAAGGGTGAGGTTTTTGTGCGGTTTGTGTGCCGGGTAGTATGGATAATGTTAGCAGCTTAGCAAAGGCGATACAACCAGGCTGACAGCTTGATACATCCCAGCTTCATGCGTGGCATGAGGAGGAAGTAGTCTCTCACCTTGCTCAAGGGGGATTTGACACCTGCTTGTGGCTTGCGAGGTTGCCAGGTTCACTGTCCCTTTTGTGCACCCAAACACTGAGGACTTGGAAGCATCTCACTTGTCCTCCCTCCTCTACTCCCATGTCCGGGTGCTCTACTTCGATCCCGGCCTAGCGAGGCGGGATACTCAGAATGATTCAAGATCATTCAATCATTTGAAGCTTGAAACCACTGAGATAATAGCTTCTTGGCTCTGTTCAGCACAGATCTTGCAAGTTCAAATCCTCCTCAGAACGACCCGACTCAGAGATGTAGGCTAGTTGCGACTCGGATTGCTGCCGAAGAATGGCGTCTGGAGGAGCGGGGACATGTCATCCTGCGTGTGTGGGACAGGCGATGTGAGTCAATTTGATGAACACTGTCAATGAGTTTCGATTTGATGCCTGAGATTGACAGAGATCGATCTGCATTGTGCATTCCCAAATGTTGGAGTTTATTCCCACCACCGAACCAAAGCTCCAGTGAATCTGCTGCGAAGGACCTTGCAACCTCCTTGCAGGCCCTGGCAACATTTGGTGGGTCCTTGCCCTCGCTAGGTCCAGGGCCCAGCTGGGACATTTGGTGTTTTTCACGCGCAGTGAGATCAAAAGAAGACAACGATGGGTTGCTTGCCTCATCACAAAAGACATAAAAATGACCTATGTATGGTCAAAGACTCGCCAAGACTCATGAGAATGTCCCTAGGCTGCCTGTCTTAACACATGGTGCAGGTGTGGAGCTACGCTTGAGCAGCACCTCGGCGCGGCGTGTGGCCAATGAGATGGATCAGATGCCGCTGCCATTGCTGGGAGACTTGCTAGAGGCCTCCCGGCTGGAAGAGAAGGGCCGGAAGTCAGGGCAGAGAAGCACTCATGGCTTTTGTCCGAACAAGGCGTTGCGGCGTTTGCAAGGCACATTTGTATAGATCTTAGCTAAACATGGAGGGTTTGGCGGTTCCCTCATTTTCCAATTTTTCCGATGATTTTCGGTCATGGCATGGAAGTTGGGGCTGTTAGGCTCAGGAGTCACTCTTGGGTACCAACGAGGCAGTCGAAACCTTGGAACCTTGGTGGCAAATTGTAAACAAATCCCTCCCCCAATCGGGCCACCCAAACTGCTCACTTGACTGGGCTCAAGAGAATAGAAAGTGCAGGTGACATGTGGATTGGAGGGTGAATCAAATCACCCTTCGAAAGAAACCAGCCAGGCAGGCCGAAGTTCTATATAAGAAGTCTTCACAGGCAGATGCACGTACACGTTTGAGCATGGGGCATGTGGAATCATTATTGAGCCAAGCCTGATTAGTTGATTTCTTGCCATGTCGACTTCATCACCCAGCACTTTTCTTTCGTTCCTTGGCATGTAGGCAGTAAAGTTTGGTTGATGGACCCGGATTTGCAAACGAACTGCAAAGTCTGTTCGTTCATGTTTGACCTAACCCTTTTGACAGGTCTGGGATTTCAGCCTCCTTGGTTGGCCTGTTGGTGATCTTCCGTGATGTCAGCTTTGCATTAGTCTACTGCTCCCCCGTGGTGTTGCGCTCCTCGAAAACCTTGATGATGGCGATGCTGAACTGCGATTTGGGGCTGGGAACCCATTGGCACATTGATCAGCTTCAAACAAAAAGTGCTGCAGAGGTTTCTCAGCTGATCCTCAGTGAGGTTTCTCGGTGTTCGTTTCAGATCTCTCAGTCCTTCCCAGGACTCTTCTACTTTCGTCTGCAGCATCTCAAGTCGTCTATTCGTCCAGACACTCATTGGCCACGGCGATTGCTTGCACTTCCTCTGCTGCAGTCCCATTCCAAAGCAGCTTGGCAGAGTGAATTTCGTGGAGACTCCGAAGTCCTGCAACCGCGCTTTGGGTGAGTCGATGAGTCGATGAGTCGAGGTCCAGAAACCCCCGGTGTTGACGTGTCGACAAAAGTCTACGTCGAATGTTGAAGGTCGAAAGTAGAGGTCGCACTTTTTAGAAAACCAAGTCATTTACCATTTTGAGATACCCTCACTTCAGAGACTCATGCAAGGTGCTATTGCCTCATCCATTGCTGCAAAGTTAAAGGGGGAACCAGAGGACGCTTTGGTCACTGCGACTTGGTGGAATCCGGCCACGGGGGACAGTTGCAGCCGCCTGGAATCCTGGAACCGGGTGATGGAGCCAGGCGCTGATCCCGACTCTGCACTTTGGAACTGGGAGCTGTCCCCTGATCCTATCACATTGTATGTCAAGCTCTACAATAACCTACAAAAACTATGCATTGGGGATCTGGTTGGCATTTGACAGAGGCGGCGACCACATTTTTGAGTACAGCTCCTGAGTTTTCATAGTTTTAATGTCCAAATTGCCGTTTTGGCAATCAGACCTGACTTGAGGCTGCTACTGTGTGGGGTTTTGCTTTGTTTCCAAATAGATGAACAGCGGGAATTACTCTTCCAAGAAGCATTTTGTGTATTGGCTTGCTATTAGGTTGGAGGCCATCGCTTGCGGGGCATTGACATTGACTTTGGGTTTGTCTAATCACTGTAGGCCGCTCGAGTTGCTTTCAGGTCATGGCCACCTTCGCGATGACGGCGGCCTTGTACGGGCTCCTGTTGATCTTGCTGGGCTTTCTGCCTCACATGGACTGGGGACCCCGCGGAGATCCAAAGATCTAGACATGGGAAGGTCACGGTCTGTAGACTTGAAGGCTAGTGAGGTGCAAATGGCGAGTTCTCCAGGCTCCCACGTCCCCCATGCAGAGGCTCAGAATGACTCAGAGCACTTCTATTGTCACCATAAATGCACCTTTAGAGAGGCGCATGGACAGCTTCAACTAAACCTGTAGATGCTGGAAGCCTAGCGGGGCCTAGCTGTTTCAATTCTTGGATTCTTCGTTTCCGTCACAAGAACGTTTCGTCTACCAGGACATCCTGAAAAGTGCTTTTCCACAGCCAGTGATGTTCGCCTTCTTTTGTGTGGTGGGTATCTTGGACGCGGGAATGGTTTCAGGAAGGCTTCCAGGATTCAGCATTTAAAAAGGGGACCATAGGACCATAGCCATAGCCACTAGGCTAACTGAGGCATTGGGATGCTGCAGAGTGCCCTTGAGTTGGTGTCTGGACAAAGCTTGCAGCTTGACTGCTATAAAAGGGGAGTCATGACAATGACTTTTGGTTCACAGTCGTGGGTGTCTGGGGACTCGCGTGACCTGCGCTCATGTGAAGTTCCACGTGTGTTCTTTTTGGGCGGGTAGAGGTGGGGGTGGGACAGTAAGGTGTTGCACGTGACGTTTAGTTAGTTGACTTAGGGATATAATGCTGCTGTTAGAGTTCTGAAGATGCCGCCCAAATCATGGACGTTGGAGATGTGTTTGAATTGCTATTTCTTCTTGTTGCTCTTCGATTGAGCGGCTCGATACCATGCGACATTTGGCTTCAGGAGGTGGTGTGGCTGCGGGTCCTAACTCGGTGGCTCACAATGAGCAAAAGCGAGATTCATCAACTTGCTGACTTCTGCTTGGGAAGGGGACTGTGAACAAACGCAGTTGATTTTTTCTTTTCTCTCTCGCTCTCTCTCTCTCTCTCTTACTTAGGTCGTTGGAAGATGAATTGCCAGGAGCGGTGACAGGTGCGAACAGTAAATGGGTTTTGCAGATTTATGATTTAAGTAAGATTGGTTTGACGAATTTTGTTCAGCATTCAGTTCTCTTCCAGGCCAGATTGTCTTGACCATTCTGGCTGGTCTCATGAACCGCTTCACGCCCAAGCTAGTGCCACTGGCCAAAGCTTGGACTCACTAAAAGCAGGTCTAACCACAGCATGAATGAAGGACTGCATGATTTTCACATGGCTTGGTTGTAAATCGCATATTTTGGTGTGTTTGAACAACGGACTCGCTCCTCCAGCAGAATCCAGTCGGATTCTGAGGCGCCATTACTTGGTCTTGCCCAGCTGCCTGCTGCTTCAGCACCTGGGATCAAAAAGCCCTAGATCTGCACAAGGATAGCCATAATTAAGGCATAAGGATAGGGCCAAAAGCTTGTCTTTGGAAGCGAAGATAGCAAACCACTTTTTCGCTGTCTACGCGGGAGCTGATGTGTGAAGACAAATGGTGTATTTCTCCAGGACAGACATGGGGGGGCTTTGACGTGCTGAGGATGACCTGCTTTTACCTGGTGGTGTTTTGCCTGAGCTCGCTCTCTGCAGCACGTGATGCAGGTTGGCTTTGGGAGCCATTTCCCCCGTTGGTGTTTCAAGGCAGGACAGCAGCTGATGGTTTATCAGAGCTCAGCAGTGTTGCAACATGTCACAAATCAGCCTCGACACTTGCAACCTGAATCAACCTGATTGAGTAAGCTGCTCATCTGTCTATCGAGTAAGCTTCCTCAGGGTCCGTGCACCCGGGAAACACCGTTTAGATGCATTTGTGCGGAGGTTTGTACATCTCTCTTTCACCTGCACCAATAAATTAAAGACACATGTCCACTGCACATGGGTATAGGACTGCAATGACATTATATATTTGTTTCGTGAATCGGCTTGGAGGTCTTTCCTTGAACACGACCTTGAGCAAGGTGAGATGGTCAGTGGTGCTGGGGCAGTGGGATGCCGTCGTCTCTTTGCAACCTTGCTGCATTTGGCCCATCGTCCTTCACTTATTGAAGCCCTATCCTATCAAATTGGGGAGCAATTTGTAGCAAGACGTGCATCAGAATTCCCTGCAGGTTCAGCAGCTGCTCCCAGATCCTCACTTCTGCTTGCAGGAGTGAGAGGTTCTAAGGTCCTGAAGGTTCCTTTGCAGGGCTCGACTTAACAACTAGCACAAAAGTATATATATATATATAGCATTGATGATAAGCAGGGATGGGTCTCTCCTACCATGTGGAAAGAGAACGCGAAAGTAATGCCTCGGCATCACCGCTCTTGACGCGACCACAAAAGAGGATGTTCGATTCCAATTTTCAGATTTTGTGTGACAATTCCGTTTGCGTACCAATGGTGGCTCCACATTTCAGTGCAAAAGCGCACAGGCATTTGTGAGAACAAGTGAGAACACCTTTTTCGTACATTTTGATGTTGCTTTGCACCTTGTTGACAGCTGACAGCTGACAGCAAAAGATAGGACCGATGCTTGGCGCACACCAACCACCCGAGTTAGTACAGCTTGAACAACCAAAAATGGCCCTCTCTGGCGAGGCTTTCGATGTTGGTTTTGGACTTGCTCACCACTTTGTTGCCGGTGGAACTCATGACCGCCACGAAGTCCATCAAGATGGAGGAGGAGTTTCGAACGGCTGGCTACTCCTCCTTGCTGGCAGGCTCGAGCCTACCTGACAGCTGGGTGCCACGATGCCTCACGATGTCATCCGTTTTCCGAGTTTTTTCTCCGTGTTTGACCAGGAAGAAGCTGAAAAAACCAGAGGGCTGGTTCCTATTTTGGAGATGACACTGCTTGGCATGGAAGAAAGAATGTTTGCGGTAGGCCGAGGGACTGAACCAAATGCATGGCTTGGTGACTGTGAGGCCTCCTTTGGGGCAATGTCTCCTACATCTCCTTGTCGCCCACGCGTTTGAACCACGATGCCGGGGGCGTCAGCCGTGAGAGCGGATTGCTCTCAGCCGGGCTGTGCATCCTGTGGATCTTCGTGGGGCCAGAGCTGACGGGCTATGTCCCCAAGTTTGTGGTTGGAGGCCCTCCCACGCCTTTAGACTCCAGAGACTCCAGAGATTGCTGCATTGGATCAAAAATCAGCGCTAGGCGGCCAGGTGTTTCTATTGTTCTATGTATATAATTATACTGCAACTCGACTGTCATCATGATTGTTCTTGATCGCTTCCTTTACAATGTGGGGAGATCGGGAGCCATCAGGGCCCCTGCAAGGTATGCTGTGCCACCTGGCCTTTGGCTACATCTTGGAGGGCCTGTGGGATCCTCGTTCGCTGCTCTCCATCGGTGAGTACCTCATCATCGTGGCCGGCTGTTTCAGATGGTGCTGGTTGTGAAGGACCCATGACCCATGTATTTGTTAATATGGGCTCCAAAAGGCGAGGATAATCCAAAAAGAAGATCACAGGATTCAACATGGTTTCTCATGAATTGGTGAGCCTGCCTGATTGTTGAATTGCCTGGTTGCAGCACAAACTTCTGGAATATTTGTTCATGCATGTTTGGAAAGCCTCTTTGTTCCTTTTTTCTCTAGCCCCGACCTGATCTGTTTGGAAAGCAATTGCGGCCGCCGCATCACAGTGATAAACCGATCACGGGAGGCCATGATTTGCTACTACCTCATCACCGATCTGGCACCGGCCATTTTCCTCGGGCTGGCTCTCTGCAACCTGGTGCATTCGAACGGAGGCCCTTCGGTCTTCACCTGCTCCTGTTGGATCATGCCTCCTTCTTTGCTACGTATAATTGGCTACAATGCTATATATAAATATATAGATACATTTCACAAGTATCTCTCTCTCTATACAGTATATATATATTATTGTATATGTTTGTACACATTTAGACATACAATAAGTGTCACAATGCAAGACCTTCAGGGCCTATGACACATGCATAGTGAACAGCGGAGACGAAGCTGTGGAACCTCAGGTAGCTTCAGCTTCATCTTGCGATACTCCCAGAGCTCAAACTTGGAGTTTGTCAAGGTGGCAGGCGGTCAGCGGTTAGCCAGCTAGAAGTTTCAAAGCAGCTAGGGAGTGTCAACCTAGAGCCAGGTTCAAGTATTTCTTGATGTGTCGGATTTTGAGCCATTCTGCCTTACACATCTCCACATGTAGAAACCTTGAAAGTTCTTGCCAGGCGAAGCAGACATGTTTTCCAACCGCTTCCGATCCGCGGTCGATCAACACTACCTGAAGAGCAGCCGCAGTAACATGGCAGAAGACACTGGAGGCAAACATGGAAGCCAGGTGTCACTGTATTAGCATCCCACAATCCTGAAATCATATCAAAAAGTAAAACACTCATAACTACTGTATACTGTGCATATATATATATATAAAATCAAATGTGACATTAAATGTGAATATTGTGAGCCTCCTGCCCCACACGAACGATCCAAAACGGCGAGACCCAACAGTGGGCTCCTCCGAGGCATTGTGGTGGTGCGGAGCTTCTGCAGTCAGCTCTTCTTTGGAACTATGGCTTCCATCCTAGCAGAGGCGCGGCACTCCGAGTGGAGTGAGGGAAAGCATGAGAAGTTGGATGGTTCCCTTTGTGTGGTCAAGTTCTTTGGAGGTTCCTTTGGAACAGGAACTTCTGAGTTTGATGGTTCCTGCTTTCAGCCGGAGACGCACGACTTCGATGCAACACAGCTTCGGTTGGACTCGACTTCGGAGGTGGAGCCGTTTCTGCATGATGCGCGCTTTTTGCTGTTGGACCTGTCCAGTCTCCGTGGCTTGGCTGAAAGGAGTTTTGGGATCTGGGCAGCTTGGCCCCGCTAAGAGATTGATGTCAATGTGAGAGAATTTGTGGCTTTTGTCCTGTGAAAGCGCACCGTCGCACTTGTATAAAGACATGGAGTCCGAACAGTCAAGGCCCGGCCTGAGATCGCTAGTAGGGTCTGCAGAGGTGGGTATTCAATCCTACTTGCTGTGCTTTGTGTCCATGTGCATGCAACCTGAGGGACACTGTTTCCTTACGCATGTCCTTCCCGGGGTTGGGAGCTTTTTGGTGCGGAATTTTTCAGCACCAATTCCTCTGGTGAGGTACCATCGACTCCTCTGGGCTCGTGGGTTTTCAGAAGATCCCTCCACAGATTCAGACAGTGCTGGTCCGCTGGGAGCCCCAGAGGGTTGCTGGAAAACTCGACTTAGAGGAATCACAGAGTGTGAACAAGACTCAATTCTTGAGAGCCCGGCCAGCAGTGCATGGCTTTTCTGGTCTTCCCTCACTCCGTGAAAGCTTTGAACATCTTATCTTCCCGCGCTGGCCGATTTGAAGGTCTTTCGCCGGAGCTGCAAGCGCAAGTGCGCCGTGCGGGCCTGGCTGTCTGCATGTTCGGCAGCATCGACGAGGGCCTCGAGTGGTGTGAGGACCGGACCCTGAAGTTCAGGCCGGCCGGCCCTGCGTACAGTGTTTGGTGTGTCGTCTTTTGGTGTGTCGTCAAGCAAGAACCCGTGTAGGCCGGACTTTGTGGGGTCGGCCTGAAAGTCAAAAGGTTTGTAAATGGGTTTTGCCCACAGTTCGTGAGTCTTCAGGTGACTGGGACTTAGAGCTGGGTCTTGGTTGGAAGATTTGGAAGGAACGATCACCGCGACCCAGAGTTCCTGCCATGGCTTGGCAGGTACTTGGATGATTCAGACCTCAGCAGCCTTTTGCTGGCACCGACCAGCAACAATCCCTCGGTGCCCTCTCGCGACATGCCAAGGAGAGGTGGTCGCGCGGCGTCGTTAATTGAACCTTGGGCGCCATGATGTGCCATGCAGATCTCGCTGGTTTTGATGGACATCGACTCTGATATAAACTGAGTCAGACTGAGCTCCAAGAAGTCCCCAATCCGCTTCAACTCCAGTGAGTCCCACCTCTGAGCTGTTGGGGGGAAGCTTCCTTGGGTATCGTTTTCAGCGGGGAATCGTTTCACCTGTAGTAACAAGAAGCTTTTTAGTTTATTTTTTGAAGCGTTTTGGTAACAAGGAACTCTTTATATAGAAGGAATTGGGAGTCCCAGTCCGCGACCCACGAGGCTGGGCCCTGCGGAGGTGCGATCGGCAGTGCTCCGAGCCTTTGGGGATGAGCTGTTGGAGCTGGAGCCGCTGCTTCTGCAGTTGCCGGCCACCAGGAATGAATGAAACGACATGAAACGACTTGAAATGACATGAAGGAATAAATTGAATAAATCAATGAATATGAATGAGTTCCACAGCCGGTCCTTTTTCTGCGGGAGGATCGTGTTTCGTTTGTTATTTTTTTTGAAATCTGGCTATGTTTGTTTTTGGATGGACCTTCCAATGAAGGTGAGTTGAGGTGCTTGCATCAGTCACCTGTTTGATGCACGATTCTTTTTGAGGTGAAGAAGCATGAAGTGGTCTTTCATGAAGGGTCATTAGCAGAAGGGCTCTATGCCACTCACCTGCAAGAAGAAAGCGCTATGAATGCTGCAACACTGGAAACCTTGGCGGATTCTGCGATGGACCTTGGAAACCCTTTAAGCACTTTTTCAGTTCGCAGGTGGGTGCTCAAGCTGCCCGCAGAAGTGGCAGTGTAGACTCCCTGTACAGTCCATCGTAACCAGAGGTTTTGATGTCCCATTTTTGGACACTGCTACACGTGTTCCTCACGGAATTGGACTGATTCTGCCGCATGCCTCACGGGAAGATTCTGAGATCGTGGTGAGCGGGACTCTGCAAATCCAGTATGGCAATCAGCGTGGCATAGTGCTGGGGCCAGGCCTAGCTGGACAGATGTCGCCCGCAGTATTCAATGGAACATGATGTCTTCTGTGTGATGTCGATGCACAAGAGAGTATATTTTCTCATGTACTTTTGCTTCGTTATTTGAGCTTCAGATACCCTTTTGCTTCTAAAACCATTAGCACCTCACCAGTCCACGCGGACTCCTCCGCAAAGACACTCTGCCCCCCTCCGCCTGTTTGGCACAAAGGATCTCCGGACCTCCGGGTCTTGCGCCAGGTGAGGTGGTGGTGGATGCTTCGGTCCGCCGCAGCTTCGGCGAGCGCGGCGAGCCGGGCGGCTCGCCGGGCTCGCGTGGCGGGTCCGCGCGTGGCAAAGCGGTGACGGGCGGGGAGATCCTTTGCGAGGACGAGCGAACGCGCCAAGGGCGGTGACCGCCAAAGGGGAGTTGGGTTGACTTGTGGTGCATCCCTTTTATGTGTGGATCTGAAAGCGCTATATCGCCTATGCAGTTCCATGCACTACACCTATTGGTCCAGAATGCACAGACAGTTTCCGCCGGGTGTATTGAACATGTTATTCATCTAAGCCGGTTCGCGTGCATTGTTTTGCTAAGGGGTAATAATGTACACTTTCGGGGCCGCGCAGGAAAAACTACAAAGCACGACAGTTTTTACCGCGGATATGGTAGAAAACAAGATGGAGCCTACGAACCCGAATGCAAACACATACGTCAATCCACTGTGTATAGAAAGAGACACAGCCGGTTAGAATCTCTTTTTCACGCTCCGGCACGCTGTTGGACATCATGCGCTGGGGACTCCACCACCAAGGCAGCATACGCTGGGGACTTCACCACCAAGCTCCGTCTTCATCATGAAGGGTCTTCGTTTTGCATTCAAATCCAGCACTGGCGTAAAGGTTCTGGCAGATCTGCAGCACGAAAGAAACAATGGCAATGTCCCAAAATCTCGAAAATAAGCACTTGAAAATGATAACCGTCCACATAATACAGAGAAATCCACAACTGCGGCGTCTGATCTTCTTGTAATTTTGTAAATAGGAGTGCAAGACCGTGCGTTGTTGTGTTTCGCCTGCATCAACAAGAAGTATATGAGACACACACAACGGAAGTGAATAAAACTATCCTATAGGTTATGTCATTAGTCCAACATTCGTATGGATTTTTCGTACACGCGAGCTCGAAAGGAGATGAATTATATACAATTCTAAACGTTTTTTAGATGTGTCACCGGGGCCTCGAACAACAGACGTCTGGGTCCAAGTATTTCCAGAAATGATGAAGCCAAGATTGAGCTCTGTGGCCAACGCAACAAAGTCGACGTCTGTTGCCCAATGAGTATTCCCGCAAGTTTCGAGAGCAGCACTCACGGCATGCTGCAAAGACACCAGGGCCGCAGTGCCAGAACGCACTCTCTTGCTCCTCGTCACAGAGCTGTCGCCCTCTTTGTAGCGAACTAGCATGGTGTCGTCTACAACTTCTGCTCCGAGGACATCGTTGGCGTCTTTCAAGAAAGCAAAAGGAGAGCCGCGCAAGAGTGTGATCATGGACCAGTCGTCCAGCCATGTCCTCGCAGCTTCGCGCACCAAACATCCGACGACGAAGTTCAAGAATGCTTTTGGCGTCTTGGCGCGCGTGTGTCGCCCGACAATCTTGCGGAGAGCAGCCGCGACCGTAGTTCGGTCGTCCCAGTCAGCCACCTCATCGGAAGTGAAAAGATTCAAGAGTCGTGGGTGGACTGCCCGCGCCTGCGCCAGCACGACCGCAGTGGTCAAGAAGAAGCAATCGCCGCCTCCACCAGCTTCGGCGGCAAAGACACGCAGAGCCCCGTGTTCTCGGAAAAATTGTGCCGTGGGAGTGGCCACCTCTTCCAGCGCAAGAGACCAGATGTCGCAGAAATCTGTTCGCAGCTGACGCCACTTGGTGGGGTCGTACTTCCTTTTGGTTGTCCTGAACTCAGTCACTACGCTCGCCTTCGTAGCCGCCGTCCAAGCCCCTGGGACGTACTGAAAGCGACCCTCTGGCGTTGTTCCGCGGCTGGAAAACCAGGCAGATGTCTGCGAGCTTCTTCGATGGCGGAGCGAGACAAAAGAGCAACCTCCTGCAAACAATGATACAAGATCGACACACGCGCGCACGCGGATGGAATGACTCGTGGCTATTTCATTATCTTATCACTCGAGCAGGGTTAATCAGTCCACACTCGATACATTGTATACATTGGACGCGCAAATCCAGACAGATGTATATTTGTCTCCCCAATCCTCACCCTGCGGGTGTCCTGCGTCCAGCTCGTTTGTGCCCGAGCGCGAGACGCGAGCTGTGCACTGACTGATCCTAGCATCATTAACTTCAGGTGATTTCTTTACTGGCCATACGTGACCGCCTACTTCTTGGCACTGCTGGTCCTACACCCATCTCCAAGCAACAATGTCGGTCACATCGCATCCACCGCGTCGCTAACAGTGATCTTGGGACTCCACCACGCAGATCACTGTTATTCATAAAAATTGACTCTCGAGCCTGTGCCACGGATGGCTTCCCAATTCTCACGCTAAGGTGAAAGCTGGATGTATCTCGTAGCACACATGCCCCGCGCTGGCTGTCTAGAGGCGCAGTTGCCCGCAGAGTGTCGCACAGCCTCCACTGTTCTCTATCTACGCAATACAGCTTTCCACTCTCCAGCAGTTCCACTACGCCCGCATAGGCGATGCTCACAGGTCGCAGCACCGCCGCGCCCATTTCTAGTCCCCAAGCTTCCGCTGCCGAGAGTGCTGCGTGGTCGGCTCGCTTCTTCAAAGCCCAGTAGCGACATCGCTGTCTCCCCACCGGTGGCCGAAGCTTGACTCTCACTCAAACCCACGAACATGCGCAGTGCGGTCCCTCCATGTCCTTGCAGGGATCCACCCTCCACAGGCGGGTGTGCACCCGTGGCGGGGACTGCACCACCTGCCACCTCCCCGTGCGTGGGCGTGACCATGTCGATCACTCGCGCGCTAGTCACGAAAGCTAGCGAAGCTAGCTGGAGTTACTCTTGCGATAGCAAGGTTTCTTTCGACCGGGTGCAAATCCTAACCCTTGATTTTTCAGGTCCCCACCCCACCTCCCCTCTCCTCCTCCTTGTCGCAAGTTCGACTCCGTCCTGTCGTCGCTCTTTGGCGTGCGGTTAGCGTTAGCGTTGCGTATCTTGCGGCCGCACTCGCTCACTCTCACTCTCACTGTCTCACTGTCTCACTGTCTCACTGTCTCACTGTCTCACTGTCTCTCTCTCTCTCTCATCTCTCTCATCTCTCTCATCTCTTTCTCATCTCTCTCATCTCTCTCTCCTCTCTCTCTCTCTCTCTCTCTCCTCTCTGTCTCTCGTCTTTCCGTCTCTCTTCTCTCTCTTCTCTCGCAGGAGGATCCGGGCAAAGAGCCACATATAAAGGACTCTTCACCCTGCCTCCAAAAAGAGCGCCGTGTTTTTTCCTACCTCGCTGCCCTCCACTTTCCCATTCTGGAGCGCTAGCTTTCGCCCCCCCTTGGCCTCAAGTGCTATCCTGTCTCCTGTAAACAGCTCTGCGATCACAACACTGCTTCGGAATGTGTTGTCTTGCATGTCTAGTCTCACTCATGGTGTCAAACTCGGGCAAACATACTCTAACTGGATTCTTTGTCGTTTTCAATCCGTCTTACATGTGTCTAGATTCGATAGACCCTCTGGGCATTACAATCTAACTGACACCTTTCTAGAGATACCTGTGCGCAAAACATCATCTCAACATATAACTTTAGATGTAAGTCAAAGCCACTGAAACGCAAAACCACTGTCCTACCGTCCTCCTACCGATGACAACGCGCGGAAGCTCAAACGTGTTCTCCAAATTCCATCAATTCAAACAAAATACCTCGACGTGTGATCGCGATCTTTTTCGATGCACAGTCGTCCAAGACGTCGGCTGCGCGACACAGTGCCAGAGACGGTTGTACGGGGACACCACCACCACATACACTGCACATGCCTCTCCTGCTCACGCCGGGGACTCGACTCCACCACCTGGCGCAGACATTCAAAACCCTCTCACGCCACGGTGGTCGGGCCGTGCGCCGCATAGTACGGATGCCCCTGATCATCTCGTGGAGCCGGCGCTCGTCGTAGCGGTGCATAGAGTCGCCACTGGTCTGCGCCCACGGGATACAAGTGTCCCGACTGCAGCATCCGCAGCAGTCCCACGTGCGTCGCGGAAATCGGGCGCCAAATGACGCGCTCTGCACAGCGGCCTCCGCGCGGGTCTTTACCACTGTCCCTGCCGTCCTTGCGGACACTCCACCTGACCCATCCGCTCCAGGTGTAAGTCTTGGTCTCTGTTCAGACCCACCCACAACTTCAAGGCCACTCCTCCATGCCCCACACATTCGCCTCCTGGCACCTCCGGGTGCACATTTGCGGCGGGGACTACACCACCTGCAACATATCCAGTGGACATGGCCAGGTCGGTCGCTCGCTCGTGGTTTTGGCACACACTTTCTCACAAGCCAAAATGCTCTGTGGTCAACGAAGTGCTTGCACACTTTCATTTCTCGCAACCCAAAATGCTCTGTGGTCAACCAAGTGCTTGCGCGCACGAATGCCGTAATACCGTCTTTTGCTCTCTTTTGACTTCAACGACACTGAGGTCCCCGCCACAGCAAGGATGCGCGTACCATCTCTCCCAAAATGGTTGCAGTCGATCATGCAACAAACCATCGGGTTTCCCGAACACACATGCAAGCATTTCACACGAGACTTCTCGTCCAAAGGTCACGCGCCAAGTTTCTTATAGGACACTCTTGTGGGACACTCTTGTGGCACCCTCTGGTAGGACATTCTTCGCGCGAGACTTCCTGCAAAACTCTGACGTCCAGTACCCAAAACGAGCGTTTCGCACGAGATTTCCTCCGAAACTCTGACATCAAGTCTCCAAAACGAGCGTTTCGTCCGAGCCTTACTCCAAAAGTCACGCGTCAAGTCTCCAAAACGAGCGTTTCGTACGAGCCTGCCTTGCGAATGGCCTCCTTCAGAGCTGTAGACAAGGGACGCACCAGCCTTCCTCCAAAAGTCACGCGTCAAGTCTCCAAAACGAGCGTTTCGTGCGAGACTTCCTCCAAAACTCACATGTCAAAGTCTGCCAAACGAGGATTTCGTACGAGACTTCCTCCAAAAGTCCAGCGGCAGCACCCATCAGAGCACACACATCACGCAACCCTGCCAAGCAGTTTCGCGATTCCAGCCCCTCCAAACGACGCCCGCTCAAACGCCAATCCCAATGTGACAGCGACATTCACCTCTACCACAACTCACAACCTCCCGATTCCCTGCACCGGCCACGAATCTTTCCGCGTCCACACGTCTAACGCGCACAAAGTACTGCGCCTGCCACGAAATGTCACCTCTGTCACACATCGCAACGACTCCCTGCGCCTGCCACGAAAATCCCACTTCCACACCTCAAAACCTGCGCAAAGTCCTGCGCCTGCCACGAAAAGTAACAATTCAATGTCATCTCGTGTGAGCTTCAACAAAATTTGCACCACACCACACGTTTGGAATGATTTCGACCCGTTCTGAGCACACTCCCAGAGTCCAAAATCGGCATTTCAGCTGAGACTTGTCACGAAAACAGAGCTTCGATGCCACACCCTGAAACGCAAATCCCAATGGCACGGCCACATCCAACGCCCCAAAAACACGACTCTCCAAACGATAATCCCAATGGAACTGCGTAGCAAACTGCGGATCTCACAAAATGCTGCGTGAGAGTGAGTGTGAGTGTGAATGTAAGTGTGAGTGAGGGGCTGTGCCTGCCACGAAATCTGCGCGTCAAGGTCCACGAAGCTGGGCCTGCCACGAAATCTGCAAACGAGCCACAAGTCCAAAAGCTACGATTCACCGCACCTGTCACGAAATCAGAGCGCCTCGACGATCACCACCATGTCCAAAGTGCTGCGCCTGCATCTGCACTTCGAAGTAAAGCCGCTCCGATCCCTTGCGCCTGTCACGAAAAGTCGACTTTGGACCACCAAAAACACCAGGTTTCCCTTGTGCCTGCCATGAAAAGTGACCATCACCATGTGCGAAAATGCACGCGGCACCACAACAAGAGCGCAGTCGCTAGAAGTACCCGCCGCGGCCACCCAGATTTCGCGAGCCTGCGCAGTCGAAATGCACTTCGAGGACTTCAAGAGGCATGAATGTATAGGACTGCAACTAGCAGCGAATTAGCCGCGCACACCCGCGTGCCCCAGCGATCTAAGCACAGCTGCTTAACCCTTGCCGTAAGAACCCCTAAGTGTGTCCACACTGGTTGGGGAAAAACACATTTCGATGTTTACTGTTCTCATCGCGGATATGGTCGAAGAAAAGGGGCGACCCCCTGGTAAAAGCGGTGAACAAGTTCGGTTTTACCGTTTTTGCCGCGGATATGGTAAAAAACGGGGCGACCCCTCCGGTAAAGGCGTTAAACAAATTCGATTTTGACCGCTATTACCGCGGATATGGTAGAAAAAGGCGACCCCCTCGTAAAAACGATAAGAATCGATGGTAAAAAAGGGTGACTCCGCGGAAAAAACATTATTTTTACTGTTTTTGCCGCGGATATGGTAGAAAACAAAAGGGCGACCCTTCCGGTAAAAACGGTAAAACCACAATTTTCAACAGTTTTTACCGCGCGGATGCCTCAGGGGAACCTGGTAGCTCGAACAACAGCGCTAAGCCACCACAGTCATTTGGGGAAACCTTGATTTTTACAACCCAACATCTCTCCATATCTGATGGATCTTGAAGCTTTGACGGCTGAAGGAGGCGCTCTACGCCCCGCAGCTGCACAGCTGGTCCTTGGTGGCCAATGTGGCGTCGATTCTGCTGCTGTTGCGACGCTACTGGGCAAAGAATCAATGGTCCCCGTGGAGTAACCGGGGTTTGATGGGTCAAGGCCGCGATGAGCTTCACTTATGCACACGTTCTTGGTGTGAAGTGCAGGGGGTGCTGAGTTTTGAGAAGCTGGCGAACGATTGGGGCAATGAAATCCATTGAGGTATGGCACATCCAGAGCCAAGTGAAGCACCCCGGAACTTCCGGGGTTGGTTCACCAAGAAAATGATCCAACACGGTGTTTCCTGATGTCCTAAATGTCATCTACGCTGAGGGCAGGCTAACCTTAAAACATGTTGGGTGTTCCTTGAACTTGTGCTTTCTTGCCTTCAAAACGTATATTCTATGGAAGTGTCAACTGGTGCAATAGTCTGCATAGCAGTCAACTTGTGGAACAACTCGCACTGTTGAAAAACTAGCCGCGACCTTTTGATTTACGGGATTGGGCATTTTTGCAGGACTCTACAGAGGTAGAGATTGTGCGGATGTCCTTCAATAGCAGTACCTCCGCTCCGTGCCGACCTCAGGAGACAAGCTCTTGCTGGCGGAACAACGGCACCCACAGGCCAGGGCCGGCCAGGGTAGTTGCACCTCATCAAATGGTTATGGCCAGAAAGGACTGGGTACTGTAACCGCTTTGGCTACCAGGGTGGCCCCTTCAATCCGTAGTGTTTGGCCATTGTTTTACACTTTTCGATGTACCCTCGCGGGTTTGGCACTGTCCAGTTTTGTACATCACAGGCGGCCATTGCCTTGCATCGCTGTTTGATGATGTCGCAATTACAGCCACTTGGCATGCGCGTGGCTTTAGACACTGGTCCAGATCCTTTGCCCTTCAAAGGAAGCAATTCCACATAGCTGAACATTGTTTTCCGTGGCCCGCTGAGGAAAAGTGGGCTTTGGCAGGGCAACACGGTGGCACGGCGCACTGCCAGTATGTGAGCAGGCCCGTTTTTTGTACTGGAAAACCATGGAATAGCGTTTGCTTCGGATGCGCGATGTCCAACGTTCTACATGACTGTGATGCTCGATGCTCGACCTCAAGAACCACAGCAAAGCCTTGGACCCGTCTCCAACCCCTACACCTGCAGTGCTCCTTGGTTTTCTCGCTGAAAAACAGAAGTCTCCTACAGGCCAGCGGCTAGCGCTCGATCCACCGATGGCTGACCTCCGTTCAGTGGTCGTCCTCCAAGCGAAGCAGTGTGCATGCTGTATGAAGATCAGTGGTGTGGCTGAGTGATGGTGACCTTCGTCAACCTCTCGCGAACGGCGAACGAGCAAACCAGCGCGCTCAGTTCGCTCCGTGCGTGTTGTTGCTGGAGGAAAAGGGCAGAAGTTCCCATGCTCAGTCCGCGTGTTTCCGTGTGGAGTGTGGAAGGTCCTGGTGTTGCCGTCAAGTTGCCGTAGCCTGTTTGAGGGCGATTCCTTAGGTCGCTATGTTGATCGTAGCACCTAGTGGCACATTTCATAGCTTTGTGGGAACATAGACGAGCAGCATGTCACGCTAGATCTGAGCACATAGATACGATATGATACGATAGATCATCATAGATTTGATTTCCTGTCAGGCCTTTCTCCGCCTGGGCATGCCTTGCCGGACTCTGCAAGAAGGCCTGGGATTGTGCTCTCAAGTTCCGAGAGGATCCATCCTGGGATTGTGTCACAGAAAGTGCTTTTGCGCACTCATTCTTCGGGAGCTGTTTTCGGCTGACTTGTGGCTCCTTTTGCCAGGCTTGGCGGCCCGTTGCTTGCAGCCTGAGTTGGCAGGCATGGAAGTTCCTCCTTTGGCTCCTTTTTGGGCCAATGCCAAAGACTGCTGAAGAATCATACGGATTGCTTTCTTGGCTGCTTCAACGAAAGAACAAACCTGGAGCCTTAAGCCTTAAGCCATTCTAGTTGAATGCAAAAGTGGGCCCTTTTTGGACCTTTGCTGCATTTGACCTTTTTATACTGCTATCTTCAGTAGCAAAAGGCCTCACCAGCGACGTGCTTCTCAAGCTTCTGGGCTGTGTGCCCCTTGAAGCTCGAGCGGCGCCTGGGGCACCCAGTCGAGCGCCGCCGCCTGTCGTGGCCGTCATGGCCGTCGTGGGCTTGGGACGGTGAGGTAGATGTTTGGATTGCAAGGAGCTTTGGGGGAACTTCTGAACCTTTTGTTTGCTCAAAAACCGCCCTGGTTGGGTTTGTTTGCGCGGGATGATGGCGGCACTAAGAGCCGATTTTGCTGTTGGGAACTCTGTCAGAGGTGGACCCAACCAAACCCGGTGAACTGCAAAGCAGGTGCGAAGCCCTTGGAGCAGAGCTGGCCGGGCACATTGAGGAGTTGGATCATCCAAGACGGCTCGTGCAGGCCCGACGGGTCCGAGGGCTTCCCCACGACGCGACGCGCGCGCGCGGCTACGCCCGCGGGGTTCGCCTGCGCAGGCTGTGGAGGCGATGGCAAAAGTACGGCTGGCTGAGGTACGACATCTGTGTCGGTTGAGGTGAGGACACTTAGAGTTGAGGCCCCTTCATCTTCCTCTACGGGGCCCATTTTCTTCAGGCCTTCTATGGAACGATATTTCTCAGTGCGCACTTACGGGGCTTGAGTTGGACGTCCTTCTCACAGACGAACAGATTCTGGAACTTGAAAATCCTGTTGGGATTAGAAAAATATGCTGCTTGTTCAGGGAGAGATGGGAGGCAATGGTCGTCCTTGACCCGTCAGACCCCGACTTGCCCAACTTCGGCATTCTGGTCAACGATCCACCGCCAGAATCCACAATTGCCAGGAGAAGCTCTTGAAACCACTTGGCTCGCAGATCATTTATTTCATGGTCGGGCACATGGAGGGGTCCTGGCCAGCATGAACAGTCGAACATGTTTCGGTGGGTGGCAAGGATGTCCTCTCAAGCTTTCAAGCAACGTTGGGGCAGGGCCTTCTAGTTTTGTGCAAGGCATATCAGTACTTCTTCTTCATTGTTGTTGGTGGTGTGCCACCAAGGTCGACTTTAGTTCCAAAGATGTTGCCAGAACGGCAATGGCTTGCCAGAAGCTGTGTGGGGCACAGTTGGGGAATTGCATTTTATTGTCTCAAAATGGCTCAACTGGATACCTAGCACACAACGGATGTTCCAGCTTGGCATTCTTGATCGCAGATAGCAATTGCACACGGGTGTACTCTTGACTCTTGCAAGCAAAAACCGAAGACAGGCCAACCGTGATCAATTTAAGAAAGGAGACCTGCTTGCACCATAAGCAAATCTTTCTTGCAGCTTTAATGGCAAGGATGGTCCAAGATGGCGCTGTCTTGGAAGCCCTCGTGCGGCAGGCCAACCCGTGGAAGCTTCCAACGGGAGGTGGCAGAAGGAAGTAAGTATCGGAGTATCGGTGTTTCCAAGGGTTGGTTGAACATCTGAACAGCTGAACCCTGGTAGGTGACTAAGGCTATTGTCTGAGCCACTTCACCTCTGGAAAGTAGTGTCTCAAAACGCAAAACGGCAAAGCCTACCAGATCAATAGATTCATCCATCCTCACCCATCCTCTCCGCAACACACTTTGCACTTTGCACCACTCGCAGTCTGCACTTAACCCTGCCGAATCTTGTCAATCTCCCGACACCGGGACAACATGTTTATAGAATTGTGTACTCGCATGCAAGCAAGGCAAACTGGGGAGTAGACGTGACAAAAGGAACTTCATCAAGCGATTGTCTCAACATGACTCAACCGCTGAGGTGTTTTTTTCTTTTTTTCCGGGGGTCGACTCAACCACGGTGAAGCGTTCGATGAAACAAGTGAAAGTTGGCACTACAAGTGAAGTGTTTCCCAAAGGTTTTCGTGGTGTTTTCGCCACTTCACGTGTGGCTGATCTCAGGGTGTGCGGCGAGGCTTTCGCCTCAAGGCACCCCAAATCGAGGCGAGGGATTCCGCGCGTATCTACTTTTATGGTTTCAGGGGAGGGAGAGTTATTTTAAGTGTGTCGTGTCCTGCGAAAAGCCATGGGTCGGTACTATAAGAATCACCCGAATCCCCAGAATTACCAGGATCCTGCAGGCTCCGAGTGTTCCGACTTCCTAACCGGTCTTTCTATGCCTGAGACAGATCTGAGGAAAAGGTATTCACCCGCTGAAGGAGAGTCCAAAGGCCCCCATTCTCTAAGAAGGGTTCCCCATCCGCTCCCGGCAGTGTGGCTGTTGAGGCGGTGGTGGCGGCATGTCATGCGGCGGGCTTTGAGCATCCCATGCTGGTGGAGCTCCTGGAGGGTGTGGGATCCAAGACTAAAGTGGGTTCTTCGAGCTTCCTAAGGTCTGAAGTAGGATATTCTGCAAGGAGTTTTTAGGCGAAACATATCTTGCCAACCACTGCCTTAGTCTTAGAAAAGGAACATGTGGCGGTTTATGCAAAGTTCTTGGACCCAGACAGATGAGCTTTCAAAGTTTGGCTGTGTGGACTGGTTGCTGGAGGCCTACAGCAGCAGAAGCAAAAGCAGTCCGAGAAGGAGCAGGTGCCACCTTGGATCTAGTACTTGGATTTGAGAGGGCTGTGGACATTACCAGAAACCGCCGATAAGGATCATGAATCATGTCGTCACTTCGGCTCATGTTTCAGCTTTGGCAATTGGTTCCAAGCGACCCTGCTGAGGCAGCTGCAGCAGCAGCAGCAGCTGCCCCACAAGAGGGTCAATCAGATTGGGACTCTGTGGAGGAGACGGGGATTTCAAGCAATTGGTTTCAACACAGCCAATCGTGCTTTTGTGGGGTTTGAACTGAACCCAAGAGAGGTCATGTGTGCGACCTGATCGTTTCATATCGTTTCTCCGAAGCTGATCATTGAAAAAGGGCAAACCTGCGACCAGCGTTTGAGGATACCCTGCGGGTCAAAGTGTTTGGAGAGCTTCAAGCAATGAAAAGTATCAACCAAAGTCTTTGATGCATGTTGATTGAATGTTCTTTTGTGGGGCCACAGCAACAGCCTACTTTGCTACTTTGTTTGTGTTCGAAGGGCCCACATGTCTTGTCCTCCTTCCACTCGTCCTCCACAGACCAAGGACCTCGCATCATGCCTGGTCGCTTCACGCTCGAATCGAGGGGTGACTCTGACCACGACATCCCTTTCCCGTTTCAATACCTTTTCGGCATCGGTCGCGAGCCATGTATTGCACGCGTTGGCGTCGCTTGCGCAGGAGGCACCAATGTTCTCGGAGCCCTTTGAGAGCGAGGCCAGCATTCTTTCTGAGCACTTTCCTCGTTTGATTGATGATTCCAGCTGGCTTCGACTGCGGTACCTGTTCATAAGAGATGCATACACCTTGTTCACGCGTGTGTCGGAATGATGATCACAATAGGAAGTATTCAAAAACAAGATCCTTAGTGAGAACAGGCACAAGTGATTTCTTCTCGTGCGGCCACACCAGGATTTGTCTGAAGACCAGACAGGCCCACGCAGTGGCCCACGCAATCTCTCAGGTCGAGGGCTCCGATCGACCTCCAAACTCTATTGGACCTTTCTTCCTTTTCTTTTTTCTTTATTTCTTATAGCAATGGCCTCCAACCTACTAGCGATGGGCTCCAAGAAGACGACTTTTCACGATTCTCTTCAGATTGGGAGGGCAGCTAGCTGCCTTGACCACAGCTTTCACCCAGTCTCCCATCATCTCCTATCATCTCCCAAGACCCAAAGCCAAAGTTGATTTCACCTGCGAAAATCGATTGTTCACTCAGATGGCGTGTTCAAGAGGGTACCTGTACCAGAGATGGACACACTGATACATAAAGAGCATTATAGAGCCGTACGATGTCGTTAACCAACACCTTTCACTGGCACAGCTGAGGAAGTATGATGCATTTGACAATGTGATAACACCTGCACTTAGCTCTATGACTCTATGGCTTCCTTAATGTTCAGGAAGCTTTGCTGCTCTCAGTAGTCTCCGGACCGAGACTTGGCTGGACTGTTCCGCATTTTCGGATGGCACATTAGAGCTGGACTGTCCAGGAGGAGCCAGTCCAAGTTCAACAGCGGCTTCCGAGGCTCGAGGAGGATCTCTCCGTTCGTTTGGTTTTCCCCTTTTGTGGTGCAACTCTATTGCTTCGTTTCGGTGCATCTTTGGAACCCTTCGGTCCCGGGGTCCCCTTCGGTCCTATGACCACTCGATCTGCGGGACCCGGGGCGGGCTACCCGTGAGGCGCTTCACCAAGGGCGCTGGTTCCAGCGAACGTGGGAAGAGGCGGAGGATGAAGCTACGAGGACGGATTGCAACCAGTGGTGCGACCCCTGTGACCCCTCATGCAACCTCAACTGGGTCAGGTTCGGCCCGTTGTGCTTGGCTGCCCAAGTGAGAAGGAGTGGCACAAGTGGTGTGGCCACTTGAGGGAAGCTGATGAGG